TAAAAAAAAAAAAAAAAAAAAAAATATATATATATATATATATATATATATATATATGTCCAATTTACACAATTTACATATTCATAAACATATTAGTCATATAATGTTTCAGATCTATATTGATAGTTGTTTAGATTTATATTAAAGGCTAAAATTTTCAAGGATACTCAGCATTTTCCATATAAGACGAATTCGAAGAATTTTAAAATGTTAAAATCAAATCTTGCGTTCCATCTCCAATTTATACGATGCGCGGTAATCAATAGCTGTTGAAAATGATTTCGCGATTTACGCGTGTTCCAAAACTCATCTTAAAATATAAATATAATAGCTATAAACTTCTTGTTATCGTACGATGTATCATTCTTGAGCGCGCGAATTTCGGATGAGCCTATTGACCAATCAAAACATAGTAATTATTTGAATTATTCACGCGGCATAAATTTGAAAACAAGCTGTATACACCAGATTGTTCGTTTTGATCGCATCTCCTGACATTTTCTGCCCTTAAAATGAAATAGATACATATTGTACGACGAAGGAAAGACAGAGCAAAAAAGTTAATTGTAAGTGCAAAAAATATAGTCGAAAAGAATAGCTATTGATGACTTTCAAGCTTTCAAATTATACATCTTCTGACTTGCAAATGTCTCTTTTTTTTAATTTATAGTTCTTCCGCGTTTTAAACCGTGAGAGCCGTTTTCAAAATCTCCGAATTAATATAGCAGTTCTTCAATTCCGTTATTTTCCTGTCAACTAGGGAGCCATCGGTGAATCTGCAAGTAAAATGCCGAAGGACTCACCGCCAGCCAAGAGATTCTTCAAGATGATGTGGAAAGTCTTTCCTTTTTCGTTGGATTGAGACATACTTGCTGGACGCTGTTGTCGGAATAACACACGTTAGGAGCAACTGGCTGAAGTGCACGAAGGATCATTTACAATAATAAAACAGTTCTCGACCACGTGATTACATAGGCTCTGTGACTTTAGTAGCGAAGGAAGTGAGAGAGGGAGACAGGGTCTCCAAACTCCCATGAATTATGACAGTGTAAAGGCTAAATCACACTAGCGATTGGCGATTGATGATTGACGATTGAAGATTGGAACTTGACCAATTGAAACAAAGGAAGCCAAGGTTGAAGCTTGTTGATTCGTCAAAATCTAATCTTCAATCGTCAATCGTCAATTGCTAGTGTGATTTGGCTTTTAGTGGTGCCCTCAAAATCGGAACTAACATGGCGCGTAATAACGCGTAAGTCGATAACTTTCAGTCTGTAGTTTTATTGTCGCCCTTAGAATTTTAGAATATACTTTAAAATGTATTTTAGAATATACTTTTCATATGATAAATCCTGTATATTAGTAGGTTATGGTCTAGGTATATTAGTAGGTTATTATCTAGAGTAAAAAAGAAAGTTTTTAACAATGTATACATCTTATTATAATGCTCTGCCTTTCACATTGAAAAAGTGACGTGTATGGTCCGAAAGATCATGATAGAGACTGAAGGTAAATGAACTAATTATATGAAAAGTATCTTCCAAAATGTATGAGAGCGACACTAACGTTGTTCCGCTATAACACTATAATGGGAGTTTGGAGGCCCTGGATTCACTTATGCCACCAATATATCCGTTTTGAACTTGTTACACTTGCAGGTTACACCGATACCGCAATGTCAAGCTGATAACTTATTCCGAGACTTTCAGATATACCTTCTCTCGTTTTCAATCTTTTATTTAGCTGTATTATGTTATACTTTCCGCACTTGAAATTTGGAACGACATATTTGAAACATATTTGAAAGATTTTCTTTTAATGTAAATATATGCATACCTATTTCGTGTTCGAGTAGGCAAGATACATTTGCTGCGTCCAACGGAATAAAGCGAACAGTGAGCATTCAGTGATTATTGGCCTTTACTGTTAGATCCTTGAATCTGACCAATTACATTAACGAATTATTCAAACTCTCCGTTGTGCAAACTGTTGTATTCACTGAACGCACTCGATAATACAGCACAGGCTAAGGCTGCGTTCGTTTTGGCGCTTACAACGCTCAGTATCATTTCATTCCTGTTTCTATCAAATACTAAATAAGGATAAATTATGTTTACACGCGCTATAAGCGCCAAAACGAACGCAGCCTATTTTTCACAATTGCTGATAGTAGGTCTGTTGTTTTTCGCTGCACTAATACAATAAGCTAAAGTGAGAAAACATATATATGTCTCGCTTTAACTTATTGCACTAGTTCAGCAGTGCAGCGAAAAAGAACAAGCCCAGTGCTGAAAATCTGTAGTATACATGACATAAACTGTAGTTTGGATTAGATTGGTTAGGGAAAGTTCCTTCTCGAAAAGCCAGTGTCATATGACGTCTAAACAGGAAAGCGAACTGCCTTCGATGATTGCATTTAATAATGTAAAGAAAAACTAGAACTTTTCTTTAAAAAAAATAATTTATTAGTTTATCTAGGGTGCGTCCGGAAACGTCGCTGGGGTGTACTCGCTGCGTTGAAGTGAAACATGAGAATGAGATAAAAAGAGAGGGAGAGCACGCAGCATTTTAGAACGTACCCCTGGATGGGTCTTTAACTGTAGTATCAGAGAGAAACCTAAGAGCAACCATACCATACGTTTTGGCCGATATCGATTTTTACTAGAGATCTTTTTTCTTCTTCTTCTTATATATGACCCAGAATTTGTATTCCATTAGTCCTGATCCACAATAGGTAAGCTTTAAGCCTTAAGAAATTGACCAATCACAATCAAATTTGAGGAAAATAATCGACTATGATTGATCAATTTCTTAAGGCTTAAAGTTTACTATATCTTTTGTGGCTCAGGATTTAGTCAATTTTTAAGGCTTAAATCTTAAATCATTGAATGTAGATCAGGGATAATGTTAATTACTCGACACTGTTATAACTTTTTCATGCGTTTCTCGCTATCCAGCGGCGATGTCGAACACGTGACCTGTTTTGACGCTAAAATTGAGCGTCGAGCGTCAGCATGAAAAGGTATCTTAGGCTGATTTACCACTAGCGCATCACTCGTCGCGTTGTCCGAGTTAAGCCAATCAAATCGTTTCATTTTATTCGGTTTAAAGTTACGCAATAAAATGGGACGATTTGATTGGCTTAATGGCTCCTGCCCACAGGACGCGGCAACGCTTGCCGCGCGGCGAAAGTCGCGTAACAGCCAATCAATATGTTGTTTTTCCGTGACAAAGTTATAATGGAAAGCAGTATATTGATTGGCTGTCGCACGAACTTCCGCTGCGCGGCAAATGTTACCGCGTTCTGTGTGCAAGCGCCATTATGGCTCCATCCACGACGGGCAGCTATGACTGCGAAAACATAGCTGATCAGTGAGCGGTCAGTGATTATTGGTCCTTACTGTTAGATCTCTAACTTTAGACCAATTATATTGACGAATTGCTCAACTGTTGTGCAACTGTTGAGTTCGCTGAACGCACCCTATGTTTTCTGAACGCAGCCATTGTTTTCTGAACGCAACTAATAATCGCTGATTGCTCACTGAGCGCTTTTTCTGCTGAACACGCCCAATATAGGCTGCGTTCCGAAATTCACTGCTAGTACTTAAATTCTATAATATATGTGACATAAATTATAGATTTTCAATATTGGCAGTGCATTTCGGAACGCAGCCATAAAGGGACGTCTACATTGGAAGTAAACAGTAAGAAGTAGGAAGTAAGAATAAGAAATTGACCAATCATAGTTAATTATTCTTCTCACATTCGACTGTGGTTGGTCAATTTCTTACTCTTACTTCCTACTTCTTGCTATTTACTTCCAATGTAGACGTCCCTTAAAGGTCCTGGATTGCGTTCAGAAACCCTATTCCGTGAGTAGAGTAACATGTAATTAGTCAATCAGAGCAAAAGGAACTAAGATTTATTTATTATGATTGGTTTATTAAAGTAACTCTACCCATCGAGTAGGATTTCTGAACATAGCTCTATGGATGCGCAGTCGTCCAAAATAATAACCAATCAGAAATGGCCAGAAATGTTAGAATCCAATATGGCTGTTGACAGTAATACGTCTTGTGTTATATATTATGAGAAGTTAAGAGGTTATATAAAAGTAAAAGAATATTAACAACATATTGTAAGTATTTTTATATAAATAACAATGAATATCTAGTGCTACAAACTTATACGATATATATATTATATATATATATATATATATATATATATATATATATATATATATATTTTAATATAAATTCTGCAATTTTCTCTTTTTATATATTGTATATATATTTTTTTTAATTGCAGTATAATGCCAAGCTGTTATATTAAAAACTGCACAAATCGTATACGGACTAAAAGTATCAAATTTTTTCAATTCCCAAAAGAACCTGCTGTTCTCCAGCAATGGCTAAAGGCTTGTGGGAAAAATGAAGAAGAAATAATAAGTAATTCTGGTAAATTAATAAAATTTATATTAATATTTATTATCTATATGTTATTGTATTTTTCATATTATTACATTATTATCTTTTTCATATATAATTTTGACAGATTAATAAATTAGTATAAAATATTATTATAGCAACTATATGTAGCCTTCATTTTACTGAAGACTGTTTTCAAATGGTTTGGACAAAGATGCGACAAAAAAATATACCTGCTAAGCAGATATTACGATTAAAGAAAAATAGTATTCCTACAAAATTGTTGAATATGGAGAAAAAACGAAAAAGATTATGTAAAAATGATAAAGGAATAAAAATGTAAGTATTTTCTTCATACAATGAAATTAAGAAAAAAATATACAATATGATTGAATAAATAGAAAAGAAGATATAGAGAATATTTAATATTTTTCAGAGTACATACAGGTATACCAAGTTATGGAGAACTTGTGCAATATGTGCGAGAGAAACAGTATATAGCAAACAGTCCAGAGCAAACAACTTATGTAGATACGAATATTCATAAAGATGAGCATATTTTGCTGTCGAATAATGCAGTTAAAGAAACCACGTATGTGACACAATTTAATTTGCATTCGTCTTTTATCTTTAATTACTATTTACATTATATCCAGTAAGCAATCTGTGCGCAGACTGACGTCAGATTAGTGACAAATTTGAGCAAGATATGTCGACAGAATCTGCTGACAGATTCTGACAGCAGGTTGGTGCTAGAATGTGCGAAAAATCTGCAGTATGTTCCATTTTAATACACTAGAATGACAAATCCTGTTCAGTTTCTGCTGTCAATCTGTCGTCAGAGTCTGTTAAACAGATTCTGTGTGTAATTTGTTGCCTTTCTATCATAGACACTGCTAATAGACTCTGCGCAAAATCTACTTGCGCAGGTTAGATTATCAGAGTATATTTGTCTTTCATAATCATTTATAGAATAACTTATGTTTTATTATTCTATTTAAATTGTATAAATATAGTGATTATGAAGTATAATTAGCATTGAAATGTTATTGTATATTACAGACATGAAGATATTGGTTGTGAGACAAATGCTTCAGTACAAACGTTATTGAAACTGCTGAGAAAATCTGAAGAAAAAAAACAATTATTAAAAGAAAAAAACCAATTATTAATAGAAAAAAACCAATTATTAATAGAAAACAACCAATTATTAACAGAAAAAAACCAATTATTAATAGAAAAAAACGAATTATTAACAGAAAAAACCAAGCTTATAGAACAAAACAACAAACTCATTGATAATACCGAAAAATTAAATTTACAGTTAGCATTATTGAAAAAGAATATGCAGCAAGAATCTAATATTACACAAATGGAAATAGATAAACTAAAAGAAACTGAGATAAAAGCAGATGTTTTACATAAATATTTTACTCCCAGGCAAGTAAAAATTTTAATGTCATCGAATACTAATACTCGAGTAAGATGGTCATCCCAAGATATTACTTCTGCAATAGCATTACGATCACTAAACCCAAAAGCCTACCGATTTTTAAGGAATGTGAAGAAAATGTCATTACCATCTATATCAACTGTACAGAATTGATACATAATATTTAATAAGCCTGGTATTTTAAAAGATGTCCTAAAAATTATGAAGAATAAAGGATATAATTTGTATATAGTAGACAAATTAATCATTATTATCATTTGATGAATTATATATTTTTAATAAAGTCGATTTAGAAAAAGAAAAAAACAAATGATTTATGGACCACATAAAACATGCCAATTCATTATGGCTCCTGGTCTATTTAATAAGTGAAAACAATCTATTTATTATAACTTTGACTAAACAATGTCTATAGAATATTTTACTTACAGTGCTGCAGATGTTGTATGAAATTGATTATATTGTTGTAGCTGTCACATGTAATATGGGTTCCACTAATATTAGATTATGGAATGAATTAAATGTTGGAATAAACATTCCTAGTAATTGTACGAAAAAAAATCGGAAATACCAAAAAGGAATGTTTTATTACTCATCCTGCAGACAATTCATTGAAAGTTTTCTTTTTTGCGGATATGCCGCATTTATTAAAATTAGCACGAAATAATTTCATTGACTCTGGGTTTCGAATAAATGGACATATTTTCAATAAAAATTGTCTAGAAGAATTACTAACACTCAACAAAGGAGATTTGAAAATAGTACATAAAATTAATAGAGCGCATCTCGATGTTAAGGCAACAGCAAAACACAACAGCAAAACGTCAGAATGGCGGCTCAAGTTTTCTCTAACAAGAACGCAATGGCCATACGGTGATGTGGAGAAAACAAATTAATGTCCAAGCAATGGAAAGAGACAGCTGACATACTCAAATTATTTAACGATTAGTTTGATATTTTCAACAGTAAAAATAAATATGGACAACATAACGGTTTAAATGCGTACGGAATAAATTTAAAGGAACAAAATGACATGATCAATAATATGTGACATAATTTATTAAAGAAATACGAGTGGGACAAAGATCTACATTATTACAATTCCAAAAAAGCATTTTATTATCCAACAATTCCTTAATAAAGATGTTCTCATATCTTCAAAAGCAATATTCATACGAAACGTTTCAAATGGAATGTATAATCATAAGCAGGTTGAATTAAGACATATTAGAAAATTTATTTTCGTACTTAAGGATGATGGGCGGAGGATATGACCAATCACCTTTACGAAAAAAACCCTCAATTTTGGATGTAAACACTCGAAAACTGGGGATAAATACTTAAATTTGAGTGTTAACACCCAAAATTGAGGGTTTTCTCGTATCTTTTTCGTAAGGGCAACGCCAGTGGAATTACAAAACCGTCTTAAATGGTACATCCTAGGAAAACATGCTGTATCTGCAATTTCCCGAAAAGAAAATACTGAAGGAGATAGGAGTTGTACAAGTTTAATAGATGTTGAAGATATACATTGTAATAATGCAAACAATGCATCATGTTCACAGTATTTAAGAGATGATAATAAAGTCACGATTGAAAAAGAAGAAGAAGAAATACTTATGAATACTTCAGAAGGAGATAATATTTTCAAATATGAAGTAGAAGAAACAATTAATAATACTAAAAAAGTATTTGATAGTGAAGGTATAAGCTTTTTATATCCTTTGAGCTGTACCCACACATAGTAAGCAATCTGCACAGACTGACGTCAGATTGGCAATAGATTCGAACAGGATCTATCGACAGATTAATAGACATCTGCATTCCCAATCTGCTGTTAGACTGTCAACATTTAAATACACTGCAACGAATCATTGCCTTTTTATTAACAGACACTGCTAACAGACTGTGCGCAAAATCTTTTTGCTTAGATTTGGCTATCTAATGTCACAAAATTTGCAGCTTATTTTGTCCGAAAGGATAATATTTGACAAATTAACAGATATTATTTGTAAAAAAATTGATTATAAATAAAAAAAAAAAGTTATTGCCTGCTTCGTTCGAACTAGGACATATATAAGATTGAGAAAAGTAAATAAAGATATTACAACAAATAATTATAAAAAAAAATTAATAAAAAATATTTACATTAAGTAATCCCACATAGCAAAAATTGATCTTAGGTATGTCTAATAGATGTATCACGAGGGATTTAGTGATATTCAGAACGCGTCTATAAAACCCAAAATATATACATAGGATGTAACTATTGATAGCGCTATCAATTTGAATCGTTTTCTTTAAGCTGTATCGTTCACGCTCGCAAGTTCAGATATGAATCCTATCGTATTTTACCTGATTATACCTGATTTTGTATTCTATAGAAATTCTATCACTATCTATTATATTCTATTGTATACGATAGAATACTACTCACACAGCAAGAATGTCCCAAATATATCATAAGGATATCTTGAAGGTATCGCATATTCCAAATATATTTTTAAGATATTTCTATGATATATTTTGGATACCTCTGTTGTGTGGGTACCCACATAGCACGCAATATTATACAATGTCACAGTAATATTTCCGTAATATTTCTGCGATATTGCAATATTACGGAAATATTACTGTGACACTATGTAATATTACGTGCTATGTGGGTATTCATATTTTGTAAATTCACGAACCAAAATCCATATTCAAAATGGATAGAAAATGGTTATTTTTATTCTATACATTTTTCTCTATACATTTTTTTACCAGGGTCTGCAATGTCTCTACAACATTGCACTGCAATATACAATGTTGCAACATTATTATTATATGAAAATATATCTATAAGAATAGTAAACTTATTTTTTTATTCGAAAAAGAAATTCATAACATGGTAAATTAAACGTTATCATAACATCATTTTGCAAAGTTATTTTGACGTCTTAAAGCATGACGTTAAATACATGTCCTTAAAGGACAAATGACGTTACTGTGTGTGTGTGTGCGTGTGTGCACGCGCGCGCGCGTGTGTGTGTGTGTGTCTACATTGCCAACATTTTATATTATTATTAATAAAATGGCATAAAAATATTTTTAGTATTATTATTCTCTCTCTCTCTCTCTCTATATATATATATATATATATATATATATAGAGAGAGAGAGAATATATATATATATATATATATATATAGAGAATATATATATATATATATATATATAGAGAGAGAGAGAGAGAGAGAGAGAGAGAGAGAGAGAGAGATATTTATATATTACAGATTTTAAGTTTAAATACATATTAGTAATGTACGATTAATTTTGGGCATTTGAATTTCGCGGCTGCATTCCTGGTCATTTCTAATTGGTTCACTACACTTTACGTTACTACGCGGACGTCATGCGCAATGGTAAGGTGTATATCAGTTGGACACGGGGCAATTGGACACAGTCCAATTACAAGTCGCTGTTCCAAGGGACCCTACAAATGTCTCTAATCACACGGTACTGTGATTGGCTGTGTCCAAATGCACCGTGTCTAAATGCACCGCTCCCGCAATGGTACACCTTTATGTTTGTGGTCTGTTCTTTTCAGCTGCACTTCTGGTGCAATAAGTTAGAGAAAACATAGGCTGCGTTCCGTTTTACGCATATGCGCGCATTTATCTATAGTTCATGTTACATATATTGTAGGTAATGCGCGCATAATGCGTGAAACGGAACGCAACCATATTCTTATTTTACTTTAACTTATTGCACCAGTTCAGCAGTGCAGCCGAAAAGAACAGACCACAATTTATATCATGGTTTATAGTACGTGTTTATAACGTGTTTATAACTGAAAGTGTTTTTCGTAACGATTTTTATTGTTTCTTATAAATTTGTTCCTAAAATTATTTCCTATAAATTTATCAAATATGTTAACTGAGCCCAAGTTAACGAACACTTTGCCGAATTTCGGCAAACCACCAGATAAACAAAATCACGTAAGTGTATTTAAAAAATGCATACGAATATAACTGTAATATCTCAAGTGGTATGAAATTAAGATCCTTCTGTTTCTAATTAAATTATTTTATATATTTTATATAGTTTTGTAAAAATATAAAGCTATATAAGTTCCAAATGATTTTGTGTTTCTTTTTTGAAGTCTGTTTATATTATAAAAATAGTTGAATGAAAGAGTTAAGGCAAACATAGTAAATTTTTATATCTTGTTCTAGCTACTACAAACTTTGGGAACACCACATATTGAATCTTTTAATTATATGTTGGAAGATGGCCTTTTTGAAGGTTTAAAAGATACCTCACCAGTATACTTTGTTCTTCCTAATGATGACAAAGTAGCTCTATGGTTGGATGATGTATGCATCTACCAACCTACCGTGCCTACTGGTGCAATTGGTGTAAAGAATTACAAAATATATCCAGCTGAATGTCGTCAAAGAGGTAGTACTTATAAGGGTAAAATAACAGTAAAGCTAGGCTGGTCAATCAATGGTGTACAACAGGAAACTCTCGAAAAAGATTTGGGAGAGGTTCCAATTATGCTGAAGGTATAATTTCTTATTTATTGATACTTTGTATTTTATTTTTAAATACCTTTGTTATTTTGTTCCTTCTCTAATTTCTTTTGACAAATTTCTATATTATGTTCTATATCTATTAAGTATTCTATATTTATTAAGATCATTTTATATTTATTAAGTACTCATATTCACATTCATATTATATTCACAGTCCAATCGATGTCACTTGAACAAAATGAACCCCAAGCAATTAGTTGAACATGGTGAACATGAGCAAGAATGGGGAGGTTATTTTGTAATTAAAGGATTGGAGCGAATTGTACGAATGTTATTGATGACAAGACGAAATTATCCTATTGCCATTAAGAGATCAGGATGGAAGGGTCGTGGTATACAATTTAGTGATCTTGGTATTCTTCTGAGAACTGTTCGAGATGACAATACTGCTACAGTATGTATATTCAAGTAAAACGTTCTTTTTCTCACTAGATATATTCATGAATTTATAGACTAATTTATAGACTACTTTATAGACTAATGTACTGCATTATGTGATGGATGGCTCTGCTAAATTTATGTTTATGTATAAGAAGACTTTATACTATGTGCCATTGATACTGATATTGAAGTGTTTAATAGATGTTACCGACTTGTACATTTACAATGCATTGATTGCTGGATATGAGGATGATCTCTATTATAAGGTTTGGTCCTTTTATGTTAACTATTTAATTTCTTCTGTAATTTTATTTAAAAAATCAGCAGCTTCCATTTCCTTTACTCACTCTGGTTGTAGAACCAGAACACCCTACAAAATGCAATTTGAGGGATTGCCAATTTTTTAACTTATACAGTTCAACTTCGATCAAGTGAACAAAAACATTTTAAGAATTTCACTTTATCTTTTTTTGTCATAAGAGCTGTATTATGAACATGTTGCGCGAGATTCACGAAAAAGATCTGCATTCCCATGAGCAATGTAAAGCATACATCGGAAAAATCTTTAAAGTAAAATTTTTTGAGATGCCACCAGATGCAACTGATATTGACATTTGTGATTACATTATCAAGTGAGTTGGAATCTTGTAATTTCCTCTTTATTCGTATTCCTTGTTTTCATCTCTAATTTCTTTTCAGATATTGCGTTGCTATCCATCTGGATGAGCCTGCTGACAAATTCCAATTGCTTGTGTTTATGACGAAGAAACTGTTTGCTCTTGCCAACAATAAATGCGCCGTCGAAGGTGCAGACGGCGTAATGATGCAGGAATGTTTACTGGGCGGTCATTTGTATCTACAAGTTATCAAAGAGAAGCTGATGTCGTGGCTGACATCGCTGAAAATTTCTATTCTTAAACGTGCCAAAAGTGCCGGTAATAGGTACACTTTAACTGTGCGTAAGTATCCTTCATGTGACTTCGTCTTACGAGAGTAAATTGAAATAGACATAAACGATTAATTTTCTTTGTATCATTACGCTCACGTTGTAGAGGAAATGTTAAATGCTAGTAAATTCGGGAGCAATATCGATGCACAAATGGAGAATTTCTTGTCTACCGGGAATATAAAGTCGTCCACTGGTCTGGGTTTGATGCAGAGCACTGGTTTGACGATCGTTGCGGAGAATATCAATAGGATGCGTTACATGAGTCATTTTCGTGCGATACACAGAGGCTCGTTCTTCCAAGAAATGAGGACTACTGAGGCTAGGCAGCTGTTGCCTGACGCTTGGGGTAATTAAAGACCTTACTCTAATATTTGTCTCGTAGATCTGCCGTTGAAACTTTAATAATTAGCCGATAATGAGTAATAAATCAGCGGTTATTTATGGACCCGACTATCACATTACTCGATCAAATATCAGAAAATTTAGTATTCCGAATTGTGAATGATTTCTTTTAACAAATATATTGATTATTGTCGTTGTATTTGGCCTCAGGATTCATCTGCCCAGTCCATACGCCAGACGGGGCTCCTTGCGGGCTGCTTAATCATTTGACGCTGAATTGTATCATTACAAAACTCCCGGATCGCAAATTGAAGGCTGCGATACCGACGGTGCTGGTGGATCTGGGCATGATTCCGTTGTCTATTGCGGATAATTGGAAGAACTCGCACACGGTAATGCTGGATGGAAAAATGATTGGCCTGATCAACGATGACATCGTTAAGAAAGTAGTTTTCAAACTGAGAGAGTTGAAGATAAATGGCGAGGAGGTGAGCTGAACGACGTCTCTTCACGACGTCAATTACTTGATTAATGATCAATTCATAAATGTTACCGACAATACGATATACATCCACAGGTGCCAAATACATTAGAGATCGCGCTAGTGCCGAAAAAGGATGTCCCAGCTCAATATCCAGGCCTGTATCTCTTCACCAATGCGGCCAGGATGATGAGACCGGTAATCAATTTGGCTATGCAAAAAGTTGAACTAATTGGAACGTTCGAGCAAGTTTACTTAGATATTTGCGTGCTCCCCGAAGAAGCTTATAGTGAAGTAAATATATTATTTTTATGATGTATATTCTTTGATTTATATATAATAAGATAGTAAAAATTCATATCTTTATTTTGTAGTTGACAACTCATCAGGAATTAAGTAGTACGACCATTCTCAGCAATCTGGCGTCTCTCATCCCGTTGCCGGATTGCAATCAAAGTCCAAGGAATATGTATCAATGTCAGGTAAAATTTGTCGAGGTTCAAACACGTTAATGATATGTCCAATTAAACTCTATTAAAAATTTTGTCCGTAATCTTGCAGATGGGGAAACAAACGATGGGTACACCGTGTCATAATTGGCAAATGCAGTCGCAAGTCAAGATGTATAGGCTGCAAACGCCCGCGGCGCCACTCTTCAGACCGGTGCACTATGATAATATCAATATGGATGATTTCGCGATGGGAACCAACGCGATAATTGCAGTTATTTCATATACGGTGAGCAAGATTTACTTTGTTTTTAGAATTGAAAACTCTGTTCATACTATGATTGCCGTCTCATGTTGACGAATAATATTTGCACTCTTCTGAGATATAAGTTTACAAACAGAAAGAAATATAATAAATTCTTAAATAGTAAGTTTCTTTTATTAAATTATAAAGTTAACAGAAAGAAGAATAAGAAACATTACGGCCATATTTTTCGCGAAAAAGTGATAATACGAATATCTTTTTTTATACAATGCGATTATTTACATCTAATACGTAGGGATACGACATGGAAGATGCGATGGTTATCAACAAGGCGGCGGAAGACCGCGGTTTTGCACACGGATCGATGTATAAGTCCGAGTTCGTTGATTTGCAAGATCAACGAAGTTATTTCGCTCGCGATCCGAATAAATCTTTTCTGGCAGAAACGCTGGACGTCGATGGTCTGCCCATTGTGGGTATTCGTATCAAAGAGGATGATATATATTATTGGTAAGCAGCTTTCGTGGCATCGCGTTACGTCTCCTTTTGAATTTTTGTCGACGATATCTGTATTACATTTGATAGTTATTACGACGCTGACCAGTCCATCTATATCACCGGGAAATATCATGGCAAGGAGAATGCCTACATCGACAACGTGAAACTGTGCGGCACGTTAAACAGTAAAAATCCACAAAGAGCGTGCATCACCTTCCGTATTCCCGTGAGAGCCATTTTTCACACATTTCCACTTTCTGTATATTAAACACAAATGTATGTATCTAATTCTTTTAAACTCATTGAATCTCCAGAGAAATCCCAATGTTGGCGATAAATTTGCGTCACGAGCAGGACAGAAAGGTATCTGCTCGCAGAAGTGGCCCGCAGAGGACTTGCCCTTCACGGAATCTGGTTTGATACCCGACATTATATTCAATCCTCACGGTTTTCCAAGTCGTATGACAATAGGTGAAATGAAGTAAAATGACTCAATAATAATCGCGATTGTTGTAATTATGGATAATCATCGTTATCTGTGTTTTCCCCTGTTGTAGCTATGATGATCGAGGTGTTGGCCGGCAAATCGGCCGCTGTACACGGACTGGTTCACGACGCCACGCCGTTCAGATTTGATGAAGACAACACGGCGATAGATTATTTCGGAAAGCTGTTGGAACACGCTGGTTACAATTATTACGGGAACGAAAGAATGTATTCCGGCGTGGACGGACGCGAGATGACCTGTGATATCTTCTTCGGCGTTGTGCATTATCAGAGATTACGACACATGGTTTCTGATAAGTGGCAGGTAACTAAATTTTACGTAAATTTTCTTTTAAGATGTTTAAGGAAAACGTTTTTTATCCTCTTACCTTATTTTGCTCTATTTTTTCTTTGCTCGATTATGGTTTTCAAGCTTCTATTTATTTTCACTTTGTTATTTATAGATCGACGATCGTATCTCATTGATGTTAGTGTCGTGAGAATGGATAAATTATTTTTAGATGATACATGATTATTTCTAGGTGAGAAGTACTGGTCCGATCGATCTCCTCACGAGACAACCCATTAAAGGTCGCCGACGAGGTGGCGGTGTCCGATTCGGTGAGATGGAGCGGGACGCTTTGATCTCTCACGGCTGCGCATACCTTCTTCAGGACCGTCTCTTTCATTGCTCCGACAAAATGAACGTAAGTGAAAAGATATAAGTATTTTTAAACTATACACGCACGTCTATTATCATCCGCTGCATTATCGGGTTCCAAATTATAATAAATATCTAGTCGTCTCTATTGTTATATGTTTTACGCGTGTAGACGGCACATTAAAGTAATTAACTTATAGTTAATAATAATTAATTAATAAAATAATTAACATTCACTTGCAGACGTTGGTTTGCCAATCGTGCGGTACATTGCTCGGGCCAGTTACGGAAGTCTTTGGCTATGAAAGGAGCACCAAGTGCCGTCTTTGCGGTAATGAAGATTCTATAAAAAATATTGAAATGCCGTATATCTTCAGGTTTCTCGTGACTCAGCTCGCATCTTGCAACATTAATATTAAAGTACAATTTAATAAAGTATAATCGCAACATCTATTGTATGTATATGCGCATTTATATAGATTATTCAGTCTTCCTCAATAGAGAATAACATTTTATTTTCATATTGTCTAACATTTCAAAGAACAGATTTCTATTTATACATCTAAACGGATTTACATGTATTATGGAGACGTTTGTTCCACTGACGCACGTACATTTATCTCACACCCGTAACATAAACAATAGGCGCTCGTGCCTACGCAAATTTCTATATACATAATTCAACAGTTATGTTACAAAATTAGATTGCACAAGAAAAGAATATAGCCAATTAGGTCTTCCTTTTTTTAATAATATAACAAAATAGAAGGGAATGTAACTATTTTGAATTATACGCGCGTCATGCAAGCGGATTATATTACGAGATACGTGAATTATAATACTCTTGTACTTCTCAAACCAAATCCGCAAGTTTTGTACAAGTTATGTGAGTGCGTTCAGGCTTTTGCTGGCACTTGTGCTCCAGACTTGTTGGTGGGTGGTCCGGATGCGTTTGTCTGCTCTTTCTCCAACTGCTTGCCGAGGTATTCCCTAAAATAGTATTTCAAAAGTTTACATATGAATTCAGAAAATATCACAAACTTACAAAGATAAAATTTTACAACATTATAAAACATCCATATATAAATATGAAGCAATGTCTAGAAGAAAAACTTCTAGAAAAATCTCACGACATACTCACCAATTATGCACCATGAGCTTTTGAACCGCGAGGAGAGCCTCGTATCTGACGTTAGGATCTTCATGTCCGAGAAGCTGCATTACCCGTTGCTTACCGCCGAGTTGTTCGATTATGCTGAAACGAGATGCACGATTTTAATAAATTGACACAAAAGTTAACGCTTCCCCTAGCGTACAGAGATGAACATACTGCTTTCCACGTGGATAGTGACGCACATATTCGCCTATGTCAAAGCTGGCAACGCTAAGGACAAGTGGATCTTTGCTAGTATCCAGCAGGTGAATTAGGATCCGCAAGAGCTCATAGTTCTTCTCGTTGAGACGACTAGCGTTCTCGCGCCAGAATTTGCCCGACTTGTGAACAGGAGACCATTCTAAGCGACCGGATTTCACCTCTGTTGAATACTCATCGAACGAACTCAGGTCTTGCACAGATGCTTGCAGCTTGTCGTTAAGGAATTCGATGTCCGCGGTAATATCTTCGTCGTCGAATTTCCGCTGGCTCAATATCGAGAGCTGCTTCAACACTTTACACTGTACCATGGCGATGCAGTGCTCCTTGGCGACTTGTCCATCTTCGACTTTCTCGATCAAATTCTATCGACGAGAGCGGGGAATGAACAACGAAATAATTCTGTTGTATCTCTCTGATCTAAATTTACTTATAATGTCTTAACTTACTCTAAATACGGCAAGTATAATGCGCGTTACTTTCTCCTTGACAGAGTCGCTCAGTATATCGGCGAGAATGGGAATAACGTTGAATCTGTAATGCAATGCGTTGTTATGAGCGAGCATCAAACGTTATCGATACTTTTAATATAAAAGAACAAACTACTTACTTGTTCATCTTCTCTGCCAATAACGGGTTGAAAGTGAGGACCCACAGGCAGAAAATGAGCTGATATTGCACTTGAAAGTTCACTCTTCCAGACAGAACGCTGAGAAGAGTCGAGATCCCGTCGACGGATACGAAAGAAAAGCGGTACTCGTCGATACGGAGCATCATTTGAAGACATCGCGCCACCGACTGAATGTAATCATTGTTCTACACGGAAAAATAACGTATATTTTATTCATGTCTCGGGATAAAAGATTCGAGGCGAGAAACAAGAGTATAAATATCCTTTTAATTTAGAGGACGGACTGACGTGGATTGCTACATGCAAAAATACGATGGCAAAGTAATTCGATATTTTTTAAGGAAGAGAAACACCAGAAAGAAAAAGATTTATCGAGAGAGAAAAAAAGAGTATCACATGCAAATCAGCAAACTTATAAGAAGTCATGCGTATGTAAAAAGAAAAAGTGGCAGGGGCCTAAAAGAGATTCTCTCTCGTAGTTTTGAGAGATTCTCGCATTGGACGTAACGATCACATGAGACATGCTCTCGCAAGCATGAAAATTGCACGCACACTTGTGATTGGAAATTTACCAGTCGATTGCCGGGCCTAAACCGCAAGGAAGTCACGATACTTTTCGCGTGCGAGAATATCGTTGAACTCGTCAAATTCACGAGACTAGTTTTTGTTCGTGTTCAGCGACGAGTAAATCTGAAGGTATTTTATAAACCGTTTTCGAGTGTAAAATGTAATATTACTGTGATTAGCTGTTACAAAACCAACCGGGTTGAGTAATTCGTGCAGCATGTCAGCGGCCTCCTTGGCCTGCTCCACGGCAATGTCTTGTTCTAGTCCCGCATGCAAGCTTGTTTCCTGCAGGGCATCAAACTAAAACCCCATTTTATTTTTTTTTCGTTCATCTAACTAAGTTCTACTGTAATTCGAAGGTGTACCTCGTGTATCTGAAGCTTAATTGCACGAAGCTATAATTTTTCTATGTGGAGAGTCAGTCGCAAGACGATTTATCGTTTTACTCGGTTAGTTATGCTCGGTTAGCTGAACCTAATAGCTGCTACACAGTTTTTAAAATCTGCCACATAGACTTTACGATTGAAATTAAGAGAATTAGATACATATCTATGTTATGAATTAGTATGTTACAGACGTTCTTTATAAGTATTATAAATTACATTTTATGTATATTTTAGTTATATTATGCGATGGTTATACAGTGATCGGAAACAATCGCATTCAGTTAATATTCTCGTATTTTTGAGCGAATCCTAAGACTATTTTTCCTCTTGCAAAATGTTATCCGAGGCTTAGTTGCTGAGGTATAAAGAGAAATAGTTAGCCACTCACAGGCCAGATACAGAAAGTAGGCAGGGGCGACACAATTCACCGTTAGACATTGGGCAATACACATGTGACAATATTCATACATCTTAGTTTGTAAATTTTCAATGCTTGCGCCAATGTGATTGTACACAATAGTAAATAAATTATTTTAACTTAGTTGAATATGATTATAACATAATATGTAAAGGTAAAATAGTCGATTGCGTTTGTCCACGCGAACTGACCTAAGTGCAATATAAACTTTACAAATACGAAAAACTTTAAAAATCAGCACGAGAAAAATTTGTACGAAACATTAATCGTACAAAGCATAAGATATTCTTACATTATTTGAGAAAACCGAGTTTGTATTTTTTTGTAAAAATTGTTTATCTTAAAAAAGAGTTTTTAACACACATTCATTACTTGTGGATTTGCTCTCAAAAATTACGGTATTAGCAACATTTTGTGAGTTAAACGTAAGCGAACGATACATACATCGGTGAGATACGCGAATGAGACCGATTAGAAAATTTTAAGAGAGGCTGCGAATCACGCTATTTATTGTAAGACGCGAATAAACGTCGTATCTTTAATCTCCGTTTTTGTAAATTTTGCGAAACGCAAGAAACATTCACAATTCGCGATCAAATCGGATGTAATAAACTCTAAAGAAATATGAATTCGTTAATGTTACAGAAACGAAGACGCGCTTGATAGTAATATTAAAAACTGTCTTTCTCAAGATAAATAATTTTTACAAAGAAATACAAACTCGTCGGTTTTCTCAAATAATGTAAGAATATCTTATGCTTTGTACGATTAATGTTTTGTTCTTCTCGTGCTTACTTTTAAAGTTTTTCGTATTTGTAAAGTTTATATTGCACTTAGGTCAAGTTCGCGTGCACGAACGCAATCGATTATTTCACCCTTACATGTTATGTTATAATCATATTCAACTAAGTTAAGATAATTTATTTACTATTGTATACAATCACATTGACGCAAGCATTGAAAATTTACAAACTAAGATGTATGAATATTGTCACATGTGTATTGCCCAACGTCTGTCTGACGGTGAATTGTGCCGCCCCTGCCTACTTTCTGTATCTGGCCTGTGAGTAGCTATTTCTCTTTATACTTCAGCAACTAAGCCTCAGATAACATTTTGCAAGAGAAAAAATAATCTTAGAATTCGCTCAAAAATACGAGAATATTAACTGAATGCGATTGTTTCCGATCACCCTGTATATTAATATTAGTGTTTTAAACGAACTTTAGAGGCGGTTATTGTCTTTGATTAGACATGAATTTAAATTGATGTAATTTATTAAATGTTAATCATAGTGAGGATAAGTGAACGAAGATGAAAAATGAATGAATGAACGCGCATCATGGAAAGGATGCATTTCCTGTAAACATGCAGAAAGCGAAGCAGCAATTCAAATAGCAACATTAAACTAAACCAACACTGCATCGACATGCTACATTACTATATAAAATCAATTAATGCGATTATTATAAATTATATTAATATCCTGAAACACAAAAATCAAATTAATCAAAGTAATTAGATACATTTGGATTTTATTTCGATAACGTCCCAATCTTCAGAAATTAGCGCGATATGCGTTTCTATCGAAATGAACTCACGCTAAGCTTTAGCTGATCCTTGAGCCACGTCAGGTAAAATTGCAGGTCAGTTTTCTCCATGAGATCGTGACTCCAGCAAGCTAATTTAGCTATAATGCGCGACGTCATATTCATTATGAAGCCGTCCTGCCTGTTCAACAGATTTAGGAATGGTCCCCAAACAGATTCCCGTTTTCGCGTGGAATGTTCACGGAAGATTTCCACACGACTACGATCTTCCTGTGAACAATAATGTCGCATTAGTTTACATAATATGAATAGAGTGTTACATATCTTTATAAGATTATTTTATTTATGAGATTTTTCTAATTTTCAATAGCACTATAGATATATAGATGGATTTAGCTTACTCAATAATATCAAGAAGATAGTCATACCTGCAACATATCATCGATCATTGTGAGAAGATACTGAATGGTCTGATCCTTGGAGACATGTCCAAGTAAATTAAGGAAGGTTTTAGCTGCCTGATGTGGATTCTCTTTTAACTTGTTTTCTCTTGTCTTAGCATCACTTGTGTCAAAGGTTGCTATGAAATCATAGTCTTCTTTTGATATCATTTGCGACCTATAAACATCAGATATTTTTAAGTCTTATTTCTGTCCAGATAATTCAAAATAATAAGGATATCTTTTTATCTTATATACTATGATTAAAAGCAATCAATATGTCTTAAAATATCATATATTGAGCTTCTGAGATGACAATCAATAATGTGATGTATCTTAAAATTTATAAACTAAATTTTTGAAGGCCGAATTGTAATACTTACTGCAAGTACGACTGCCAATTAATTCGCTGGTTCCTAATGTCAGCAGCCTGCTGCTGGAGCATACTTGTAGCTGCCAGCATATCTATAAAATTACACAAATGAAAGAATGCAGATCGAACGATATAAGATGACAGATGCTAAAACAATCTTTGTGAATTAATACGTGTGATAACGACGTGAAATAACTGTTAAATAAACAATAAGAACAGATCGCACTGTTGGGAGGGGCACTGACAAATGCACAAATAATTCTTATGTGGAAAGCGTAATCACCGATTTTCTCATCCGGCAGAGCCGGTATCATCTGCTTGATATTCGCACGGTCCACCATGATTACTGACGAAATTCCGTGTCAATTTATATGGAAAAAAATCTTTTTCGTAAATCAAGACTCTCGCTCCTTTTTGTGCCCGTCGTCTTCTTCAGCTGTTCGATCACAAGACCACTTGCGTACCAACCTGACCTGACACCATCAGGTTGTTATCATCCCGGATAAAATACCTAGATTTTAAAAATTAGTGATTTTCATAAACAATATTGCGCGTCCGCGGTGCGTCTAGATACTCATACGTAATGACTGTTAAATTATTATTCCTTCTCTCTCTTTCCTTAGGCCTGTTTTTTTTCGTTGAACTGCTGAAGTAGTGCAATAAGATAAGTGATTTGTTCTTTTCAGCTGCACTGCTGAACTGGTGCAATAAGTTAGAATGAGAAAACATATAGTTGTCTCACTTTAACTTATTGCATCAGTTCAGCAGCGCAGCTGAAGACCAAAAATGAAACTAACTAATTGCACTAGTTCAGTAATACAATGAAAAAGAACAGACCTCTTATTTGAAGACTGCAACAAGAATCATAAAATAATCATAAAACACGAATTAGATACGACTAGACATCATTCGTGTATTGCAAGATTGTTAATTGCATTTATTGTCGTCTTCTTTAATATTAAATAATAAAAAATGCATTAATGATATATTTTCATAACGAATGAGAAAAATCTTGTTAAATAAAAAAGTTTATATGTCAATCTCACACAAATGCATTGCTTTTTTAAAATTTCAATTTCTTTTAATGTATATCCTTGTTCTTTCACATAATATCCTTGACTGATTTATTATTATATGAAACTATATGGATATAATGAACTATAATAAATTATATGACAATAATACGCGCGCGCGGGTGGAGATAATAACGTAGGACATAGAAAGAAGATAGTATTAGAATAGGAAACTGTCTTATAATCTGAAATAGTTAAAGAATCCGTAAAATTAATATGCACTACAAAATTGTATTATCACTTTAATTTGAACACAAATATATTTTTTCCATATAACAGCTTGTCTTAGAAAAAGAATGTTCCGGAGTTCGAGGAGACGGCGTCGTAGATGAAGGTGTTGTGAATAGGTTTATACTGATTTGTGATAAATTTGATAGTTTCGTGCGCCGCGAGGCCACCCAAAAATGCCGAGACGGAGTGCAACTCCGCGCCACCGAATCTGCAAAACTCATGCACGTAATCGTCTTTAGCTAACGGTCCGCATCCCCATTCACTTAACAATTTCGTTAGGCATGTCTGTAACATAATTAGATTTTAAAATAGCGCTTGTAAAGTGGTAAATATATTACAGTTATACCGTAATAGACAAATTTACAGAATATTGTAAAATGATGATACCTTGAGCTTTACGATATCAGGCTCCACTTGATCATCGAACTCACCAGGATATGAATTATACTCCGCTTGGAATTTATCTACCCCACGGAGTATAACGTAGTAAATCATCATACTTTCGGGATTCTCTAAATTTTGAACTGCAAACGGAACGTGAAATCATTAAAAGCAAAGCACACATTTGATCACACAGTATATAGAATAGATATTGAAATCTATAATAAATTAATAATTAATATTATATAAATCGTATTTAACAATTTTTTAGTTAGTTTATGTATTATAATTTTAATTAAAAATTTTAAATTATAATGTATGATTTAAATTTTACAATTATAATTTTATAATTACACGCGAGCTGCAACTTTGTGCCAATGAATGAAAATAATTACCTATGGTATTAGTATCACAAACTTTGGGATCGTATTCGTCCGCGATGCAACTTCCTCTCTCCACGTGAATGTCTGTTGCGTGTCTGCAGAACATTTTCACGTCCTTCTCCAGAATCGAGTCCGACGGTTTTCCTAATTGACGTAGCAACTGCAAAGTGCGCCGCCATACAGCTTCTGCGTCCGCCGATGCTTGCTTATGATAACTAAAAAATAAATTCGACGTTAATTAAATCTATAATATGATAGAGTCGCACGTGATATCATTTAAAATCGTACATTTGTTGGAGAGTAACGTATTTTTCAGTATCTGCAGTCATGTCAGGCAGAGCGCCTTTGAGTGGCAGTAATCCGCTGCCTTCGTTATCAATGAAATCACGCACCGCCTTCGCGATAATCCAGAAAGGACTACTCTAAAATATATCGAGTATGAACGATCACGTCTTCCGCAGAAACGGCACGTAAATTATAAGGATGCTCCAATGATACCTTTGCTGTTAGATTAATGCAACAATCGTCATTTAATATGTTTCTAACATTGTCGGGTATATCGCTCGATTTGATGCTCGTATTCACAGCTTTTATAGCTTCCTCAAAATTCTCCTCGATATTAGAGGTATCATGCTCATCGCGTCTCATACCATTCTGTATCATTCGCTTGAGCTGTTGCTTCTCCTTGTAAGTCTTCGGTAACGTGCCGTGACGACAGATCCATTGCTCCAGGTATTTGTACAAAATGATTAAATATGGTAAGTGAGAATGGTCCTTGAAGTTCATTTCGTCAAGATCCACGGAATCCAGATGCTTTTTTAGACTGTCAAACGGTTTGTCAAGGCGAAGATCCAATGTTTCGTTGTCTGGATGTGTTTCAACAACTGTGTGTTCCTTTACTTGAACTCGCATGTAAGCTATAAATCCTATACTCCTGCATACTATCAAGGGAATATTTAGTTCCCAAAGTCTTCTCGATAATAGGATCAATGTTCTAAAAATAATAAAATAATGTAAAAAGTGTGTAAGATATATTCATTTAGTATAAGTTAGTCTTATGAATACTGTATCAGTGTGTTTATGATTTTACGACTTATCATTTTGATACTTAAACCCTTACTTCTCACTCAGTGAGGTAGCAACTACTACTGTGAAGTTGTTGAAAAAATCTGGACTATTGGATAAGATTTGTTCAGGCTCCTCATCAATAAAATCACCAGTTACATCAATATTCAGTTCCAAAAGCATTTGCGTAGCCACCTGGGCTCTTGATTTCCCAATACTGTCTGCTTCTAGAAAGAAGCTAATACAAATCTATTTAACTTACTGAACTGAAGCATATCTTGAGAATATCTAATCAGAATAATATTATATACATACTTAGCTCCTATATCCTCATCTGTGATCTTCTTGCCATCAACTATGGTAAAGGCTCCAATACCTGGAAGTACTAGTGATTTCAGTATCTCTGTACCAAGCCCAGTGGCATTTATAACGCAGATATGAGCAGTCTCTAAGCATGCTTGTCCGTGATCACCCCATAATCTGTCAGTGAGAAACAGAAGATTATGTCTCATAATAATAAAAATGTTGTTGAAAAAAGTAGTAAAATTGAAGGAAACATAATTAGAGCTGTAAGAGATAGATACACTGACAGATTTAACATACAAAATTGACTAAGCAAATGACAGGAACAGAAGATGTACAAGAATTGTAAAACTTAACCTAACCTTAAAATATTATAATCGGCGATTAACATACCTCAGCTGTCTATCGTATTTTCGAGTTTTTTCAGATAATTCAGGTGATTTTGGAGCGGGAGATGCCATCAGAAAAATAAATTTTAGACGATTGTGTAATAGCAGGTAATAACGCGAGGTGCACCGTCACACGGCACAGCAGTGATATTCACCACAAATTATGTGAGAAAGAAGCTTCCTAATTTACCGTTGAGTCATACTACTTTAAAATTGTCTAATTTGTAGTTTGTCGTACTACTTTCCGATTTTTCATTATGGACGGTGGCGACTCGTAGCGGAGACCTTAGAACTAATAAAACATCAGCTGAAATTTAAACTTACAGATTGACTGTAGGATTGATTGTAAGTTATTAACGAATAGAACTTTTCATTTTTTATAAATTTACGCAAAGGAAACAGACACGTAATCGACTTACAGATTAGTGCTACGTTTTTTAAACTACATGTGCATTGTAGACGACGTTTTAGGGTGCTTATGGGAGATTCACACCGCGTCCGATGTCCGACATACGACGTCTGATATCCAATAAGAGAATAATTTTCTAATAGAGAATTCAATTCTCCATTGGAAAGCTGTTCTCTTATTGGATATCGGATGTCGTACGTCGGACATCGGACGTGGTGTGAATCCTCCATTACGATAGTGAGTTCGGAGCGAGTGAGATCTGGATCCGGACAGAGTAGTATATGCTCCCATCTACAATTAATATATACAATATATTTAATACGGCTGCTCCTTTTACTCCCATCCGTCTCATGCCGCA